CTGTTGAATGGGACATGACTCGTTTCTTAATGAAACGAGTCATGTCCCATTCAACAGTAGTTAATCTACTGTTGAATGGGACATGACTCGTTTCATTAACTACTGTTGAATGGGACATGACTCGTTTCATTAACCACTGTTGAATGGGACATGACTCGTTTCATTAACTACTGTGAAATATGGACTCCTGAAAGTGCAGAAAGTAAGGTTCTTTCAGAGATGAACGAAAACCAAACCATTTTAATTATGAATTTATGCTATGTAGATAGTACATGACTCGTTTCATTAACCACTGTTGAATGGGACATGACTCATTAACTACTGTAAAATATGGACTCCTGAAAGTGCAGAAAGTAAGGTTCTTTCAGAGATGAACGAAAACCAAACCATTTTAATTATGAATTTATGCTTTGTAGATAGTTTTACACCAAAACTACTGTGAGGCTTTGTTGTAGGATCAGCGCGGGGGAGCTGGCTAGACCCTTAGCAGGGGTCCAGCGCAGGAGGAACTGGCTAGTTTCTGAGTAGTAGTTTGTCTCCCAAGGAGGTAATGTTGATATTTCTAAATATAAACTTTCTCCTGACAAATAAAAGTTAGAGATACCCAGTGCAGCGTTATAGTTAACCTCTGCAAAACTACGAATCACGACCGACCTTACATTTCGATATAATACAGAAATAGATATTTACGAAAATGTCGTGTGGTGTAAGTGCGTAATTAATGTCGAACAAAATGGGTCTAATTTCACTATAGATACATCACAACTGTATATCACCTTACATATTTGGATGAATACAATTATTTTATTCAACTGTATAATGTCTACACAAGTTAAAACTTGTTTTGCTTCTTGGTTTTTGTTTGTTTGTTTGTAATTAAGCACTAAGCTACACAATGGGCTAACTGTGCTCTCCCTACCACGGGTATCGAAACCCGGTTTCTAGCGTTGTAAGTCCGCAGACATACCGCTGTGCTACTGGGGGGGGGGGCACTTCTTGGTAGAGTCATGTATATCTTCACTTGGTACGCAAACAATAAAACGTCATCGTGTGATGGACCATCCAATAAATTAACAATATAACCCTGTACGTTCGAAAGGATATTATTAATACTTCCTGTGATCATTCGTATACAGTTGTACTTCCGATGTGTACTTCCTACAGTTGTATTTCGATGTGTACTTCCTACAGTTGTACTTCCGATGTTTACTTCCGATGTGTAGTGGATTGAAAATATTTCACTGTGGACTCTCATCGTGTGAAACGTAACTACTGATAATTACAAGTGGTAATATTTTGTTCGTTGGAAATAATGACGTCATCATAAAGAGTTTTTAATACTAAGAGCAGGTTACTTTTTTACTTTCGACTCGGCCGTGCGGACATTATAATGTGACGTTCAATCTCATTATTTGTTGGCAAAAAGAGTAGCCTAAGAGTTGTCGTTGGATAGTGCTAACTAGCTGCCTTCCCTCTAGTCTATCACTTCTAAATTAGGGATGGCTAGCACAGATAGCCCTAGTGTAGCTTTGCAAGAAATTCAAACCAAACCATATACCTCCAATTCTGCGTATTAGTACCACTGTAAATCACGCGTCTTTTGCTACATGCTACAATGTCACATAAAACCTGCCAAGTGCTTTCTGGCACTGATTGAAAAACGAAAGATTATCTTAAAATTACGCATGTCAATTATTTAGGTTGCTAAGTATTTCATTCACAAAAAATCTATGAATTTTAATAGACAAAGAAGCAAATATTAAAAAAAAGGCTTAAGATATTAGTAATCTTTAAAAAAATTACTGATTTATGTTTGTTTTTTTTAATTTCGCGCAAAGCTACACGAGGGCTATCTACGCTAGTCGTCCCTAATTTAGCAGTGTAAGACTAGAGGGAAGGCAGCTTGTTATCATCACCCATCGCCAACACTTGGGCTACTCTTTTACCAACGAATAGTGGGATTGATCGTCACATTATAACGTCCCCACGGCTGAATGGGCGAGCATGTTTG